GCAAATCTTTATAAAAGCACTTCTATAAACATAAAACATCTTACCTGATTTTTTATATTGCTTCCTTAGAAAAAAATAGTATGATTCCATTTGGCAACATTTTTTATCTTTTGCAAGACAAAGTGCAACTTTACATTTTTCACATTAAATTTTTGAATATAATGTCTTGCATAGTCTTGCTATGCCATCATATTGTACATCCACAGTAGGGGTAATGGTAGTTACACATTGTTTCCTTGGTCTATTGAGAACCGTATCTGAAGGTCTTCCTCATTTTCGTTCCATAGATTTGCCACTTAATAACAGACCATCCGCAATTTCCGCTTGAAATATGAGCAGTGTCATATGTTTATTTGTTTGTTTGTAGTGTCGTCTATACAGAAGCCAAGAATTTACAATGCAAATATTTATTAAATGAAACACTATTCGCAAATATAATCTTTTCCCCATTATATCTGTGTGATATAAATCTACGAGCATATCATAAATATCAACACCTCCCATAAACATTATTTTCTTTTACGATGGCTGGTAGTGGAATATGTATATATTTTCTCAGGGCTACTGACTATCTTTTGACTATATCAAACGGCAAATGCCCTATATAGTTAGACGCCAAATGTACTGGTTTGTCATCCAGCCATTTTATAACCGTAATGTTATGCGTAGTATCAGTTTTAACGTCAAACGTACGGGGTCGTCTATTTAGGATGGAATCTGCTTCTAAATCTATGCCAGTCATACGGCACGCACTGTACCAGTTGCCAAAAAACCTTTTTCTTTTAGTGCAACTAATAATTTATGCGATATGAGCCAATAATTCACGAACACTTTAAAATTTTCGTTAGGTGGTAAGTTTTTCAATAATCGAAGAACAATGTCGCCATATAAATTTCATAATCCGATAGCTTGGGACTTTAACTATTCCGCTAAGCACAAGGATTCCTATAAATTGTTCAATTTAATTCCGAAATGTATCAATTGATGTACCTTATTTTTTCACAGAATATAAATTTGTTTGCTCTCCAATATTATAAATAATGTCATTGTCGATAAACATTTTAAAATATCCGTACGGTGATTTATTGGTGTGGGATGAGTTTGAAAAATTTAAGCGAAAATGTGCAACGCCATTAACATTTTTCTGATCGAACAGCATTTGCGGGTATATTTGGAGTGTAATTTTTTCTATGTCACTATCACTTTCTTCTTCCTCGTTGTCTTGATTAGAAATAGTTGGTCGCTGCTCATCTATAGGTTCGGACAGTAAATCTTCATCTGACATTTCCATTTCACTAGCAGATTCTTCAAGCATATGATAAGCTTCTTCAGCTGGAAGGGTGCTGAGATATTTTTTTTTCTTGTGAGAGATCTGAAAAATTAACATTTTCAAATGAATGTAAACTTTATAAATTTAGTTAAAAATTAATACAGTGAGTTATTTAGGCTGTAAAAACCTGAAATTTACTGGAAATATTGTAGAACATAAAAAGCACTCAAAGACTCCAACCTAAAGATTGAAACCTAAAAACTTTATAAATTTACATCAATGGAACGGATAAATAAATTAAGTAAACTCATTTAAAGCATTTAATTTTATAATTATGAGAATATCTTGAAAATGCTGTCATTTATAATGCAAATCAAGATAAATTTATACGGTGTATTTTTTTTATAAATATATACTGCACATTTTTTAGAACTACTCATCCTCAACAGTCAATGAGCCATTCATGAAGTTCGGATTGGCTGGTGGGTATGTGCCTGATGGTATATTGTCGTACATTCCCATTTCCGCCTCGAAGACCAATTGATTTATCGCATGCTCCAGATATGAGCGGGTTCTACCTTCGAACTGTTTCAACTTATTAGTTAGGTGTGATGCGTAGATCATAGTCGGATCCTCTGGCGGACGCGTCTGGTATGAGCTGTGCACCTCTTCTCTGTGATTTTTTACATTTTTCTGAGGATTCGGTGTAACAGTCTTCAACGCTTTCAATCTGTTCTCTATATCCTCAACATTCTCAAAACGATCGATTTCCTTGTTAATGTGTTGATTCCAATTGTCGGTGTTCTTTATATTAGAATTTAGGGCCTCGTACAAGGCGTATTCCGGACTTTCTATGCCCACTGAAACATCTTCAATGTCGTTTCGGATTTTCTGAAAACAAATTTCGAATAAGAACTAATATTCTCAGTAAATAAGCTAAAACAGGCAGACTGCGGTTACAACACTATAATAAAACTTAAATGTTAACATGACAAACTATTTGGTAAAATATAAGAAATGCGAACTCAATCGTAATTAAAAGATACTATTAATTTGAAGACTGTAACATAAATTAAAATTTTGTATTGATGTCTGGCCAATAAATTATTATTAATTAGATTTAAATATTTTATTTTGCAGAAACTTATTATCAATTTTTTGTCAATTTAATGCAAATAGTGTATATCTATTAGAATTATCATATTTTAACTGTTACTAACTTATTTGCTTATTGTAGGACAACAAAACTTCAGCATATCAAATCATACGATTGTTAGTATATGTTCCTATATAGATATAATAGACAATAAATAAAATATGATTGTATTATTTGTAAACTTACTTCGGTGTTGTTGGTTGGTTCGTTCGGCTCGTCGAGTAAAAATAACAGATGCTTGAAAGCAAACCACTTTGATTTGTAAACTTCCTTTGCTTCTGCAAACATGAATCAAAGTTGTACACATGTCTAGTCATATTCATAACATTACCTTTTCCGATTCCAACGATTATCTTTCCCTTGGCCCTCTCCCTGCGGAACGAACCTTGCAAACTTTGCATCTTCTTTCTCGCATCGTCTATGTTCACATTGCAGGCTTTCGCGATGCTGTACCAAGCGTTGAACTTCTTGATTTTATTGAAATGCCACTTGTCTCTTGTGTTCCATAGCAGCGGATGTTTCGCATACTCGCGGATAAGCATCAGCGTATCGTCGTTATCCCATTCAATCTTTTCCATAGCCAATTTACGCACCTCAAAGAAACACTGCAATTATTACACTGCTGACAGTAGAAATGCTTTTAATAAATCAATAATGATGCAGGAGCGTATCTAGGTTTTAATACAAGAGGGTGAACCTTCTTTTCCATACTAAAAAGTTCAGTAGTTTTCATAGTAGTATGTATATATTTCTAAAAAAAGATACCTCACAATAAGCTATCGACCATAAGGTCTCAACTGTGGGTACTGTTAAGTCATTAACAAGACTACTTTTTCCACAGCAGTGCTTCTCAACCCAATACTTTTCCGAAAAAGTACGTTGCTCCAGAGTGAAAACTATTAATCTCAAGTTGAGTATTTGGTATTGTGCTCTATAATAAGAATTTAAAATAATGTATGTATTTACTTTCTCCATTAGTCCGGTTCATTCAGTCCGAGATGTCTGCATTATACGAAGTTTTGCAAATAAGTATACCCCTTTGGGGTCAAAAATAGAACATTATAGACAACTAACCCAAACTTTGCTTAATTTGGGTGCATTGAGGGCCTGCAAACAACCTGAGTCTAAGGCCCCCAAAGAGTGTTAGCACAGGGATCCCGAACTTAACTTGTCCCTGGGAAAATCAATCCGAACATAATATTGATTTATAATAATCTTTGTAACTCTGATTACTATTGCTTGATGAAATTTGATGGTATTGCTCATACCATAATGGAAGTCAATTATGAAGATGGATTCGATTATCTTTTTTTTACTTAATTAATAAATAGATAAAGTAATACGATATAATGAAGGAGTCTTTACGAATTACAAAATGAATTAAAAAGTAGACTTACTGTCATCTCAGTTCTCTTCTTTCACGAATCATTGGTTTCTTATAACATTTAATCATTGTGTAAAATATAAAGTAGAAAGTTTGATGATAAAGCAAGATCATATTTGATAAAATATTGTGATTTATTGAATAAAACCTATGGTCAGTAGTCCGGTTTGAAAATTTAAAAACAAGCTGAATTTTAATAAACAATATATTCTATGATATTAGTGTTTAGAATTTTTTTTTTATAAGAAAGTTATCGTTTTTTTCCCGTTATCAATAAAACTAAATAAATAATACCCATTAACCGTACAATTGGTATTATTTTATTTAGTTCCTCGACTAGTGCGGGAAATTCTCAGAATTAATTATTTTTTGTGATTGTTCATAATAAATTGTAATGTATCAATTGTTAAACAATAATACAATGGAACCTCGCATAACGAGCATTTCGCTTAATGAGCAAAATTAATTGTAAGAAAAATGACTCGCTTAACGAGCGACGTTTCGCATAAAGCTGCTACATCAGTTTTAAAACTTGTGTACACAAATTATATGTGTATTTTTGAATATGTTAACCATCTTCGACTTTTTTTCATCTTTCTTTAAAGCGGACTATACTTTGCAAATATAATTTGTGTTTGCTGTAAATGCAAAACACTAATGTATTGTGTCTAACCATTATTATAATATATAAACACACTATGTACGCTTATTTATATAAACAAATATAAAAAGTATAAAGAGACCCCCACCAAGTTCCCGAATTGATACAAGTAATATAAAATCACTTCACCATGTGTGAATTGGAAAACAGTTCCTGGTGTTAGTGGTCATTCTAGTTGAATCTTAGTATTGTTTGTGATCACAAAATTTCCAAAGTTGTGTTGAGACATGTTATTCGTGTTTTTTTTTGTGCAAAATTTAATAACACTTGCATGTCTCCGAATAAAAAGCCAAATAATTAAAATAACCAAATAACCATAGATAAGAAATGCAAAATCATTAAAAATCGAGACCAAGTTATACTTTTTTTTCCGGCAAGGAACGCATTATCGTGATTTACATTAGTTTATATAGGAAAACGTGTTTCACTATATGAGTAATTCACTATACTTGGATGAAGAATAGTTGCTTTTGAAAACTCAATAATATAATCTCGGCTAATGTACTTTAAACAAATTAATATTTCATATGTTTCTTAATCTTTACGAAGGACCCTCTAAAGAATGGGTATGTGTAGAAAAAAACATTCCGTCCCGTCTGTCATTAATTTTTCGCGACCCCCACTTTGAGAATCACTGGATTTTGCTATAATAAACGAATGGTCTGGTAGGTTTTGTCATTTACTAAGTTTATTACAGATTTGTGCAACTTTAAATGTTGATGTGATATAACAAAACCTAAAAATACTTTATGAAAATGACTGTTATAATGTATGTTTATATCATCGTGACTTATAAACTTACAGCCATAGTACTATATAAATGTCATATTATATTTTATAAATAAATAGTAAATGATGAATATTTCTATGTGATACAATATTTCCCTAATGTCAAGTTGACACACATGAATCAAGAATATAACAAAACAAAAATAATTACTAATGTTATAACAAAATGTTCTAATTATTGCAATTTTCAATATACTACACATCAATACATCACACTTCCTCTCACTTAAGACATTGATGACCCTCAACATGCGCTCTGATGTACCTTGTATACTACTTACCTCATGTCATGATACAAATATATAGAAAATTAACGGGTCTTTCTATATAAGGTCGATGGCCCTTTGACCAGATGAATTTATATAAAATTGTTGTTTTGACTTATGGTTCAATTTATTATTTTGTATTGGAATTTATTTTCTTTTTATTTTCTGGCCTTAAATTATTATTACTGGAAAATTAACTAATTTGAGATATGAATTTTTACATCAATATTTTTATTACATATGTATGAATGTTATATATAACGTGTGAACTTAGCTGTTAGGTTATTTTGTTTTATCAACTTACCTGTTTTCAGTTAATTTATCTATCAAAGAGAGAAATTAATCTATGTATATCAACAAAATAAGAACCTTTAGATAGAATACAGTTCTGGTGCAAGAGTACGTCAATTCATATTCAAATGCATAACAAAATATTAACAAATATGATATATAAATTAATTAATATTTTTTACTCTGGAAAATATTTGAATTAAAAGTAGTTGACATTTTGTGTTCAATTGATCTTATTACCATTTCTATTTAAGCCATGGTGGCTGATGGACAAACGCCCTAGTGTTCTACCTTTTAGTTGTAAAAGCAACGATGAGCCGAATAATTTAAAAACGTGTTTTTAAAGACCATAAACAGCTCCTCAATAAATCAAATAGAAAATTGTGCTCATAATATTTAATTTTCGAGTACATTAATTAATTACAAATATGACTTACCTTCTTCTTCACATAAATAGTTGTTCTACTTATGAGATAACGTTTGAACTATGGATAGATAGAAATGCAGCCACCAATAGAATTAATCTATTTTGGCGAAGAGAATGATAAAATTACTCTTTTTTAAAATTTTATTCTCGTAACCTCAACTGTAACAGTTCATTACAAAGGTCGAAACACTGCTTAAATACAACTTAAATAATAATAATAGGAGGCTTGAACAAGAAAAAGGGGGGGACCGGAAGCAGGAGACCACAAAACTATGTTCATATAATTCATATATAATATTATTTGTTACTTAATATAATAATAAATCGTGATTTAATCAAGTTCGAAAGTAACTTAAACAACAAAAATAATATAAAATGAGGCGAAACAAAAAAATAACGGTTATGCATTCATTTAGTTCAGAGGGTGGGTTTGTGGTTGAGAAGAGCATTAGTGAAGTGTATAATTTGTAATAACTATTAATTATATAATATATATTTTCATCAGTATTATTATTATTAGTTAGATTGGCCGGTATTAGTTTATATATTTTTATAATTACAGTAATTACGATCGTTCGCGAAACAAGTTTGATTAACCATGGCAGTTTTCTGAGGAGTTTCACTGGAGAAAACTCGCAAACACAGTAACAATGTAATTTGAAAACATCAACAAAAAAAAAGACAAAACTTAAATTAGGTCCTCCACAAGGGCTATAAGGAATAAAATATGTATAGTTTATTACTTCTCTCTCTCTTAATACAACTTGAACTCCTTTTATTTTGTTACACGATTCGATACCTAGTACCTCATTTCTTTAAAATAAGAATATATATTTATATATATTACACACATTTCGAAAAGGAAAATAAATATATCATTTTCACAAAACGTTGCACATGTAAATTAAACCGACTTCAATAAACACACATTGTGAAAGAATGAAGAAAAAAAACTATACTCAACATCTTGTTCTTTTTTTTCACTCATCTCGCTAATTCTTCGCACTCGTCTTTTCATCTCCACAATTATTATGGAAATGACACACATGTAATTCGTATTTTTTTTCATTATTTTAAATATAAACATGCTACTCGAAACAATATTATTAATATAATAGTTGCTGGACAATTAAAAGAAAATAATAATAAGATAAATTACAAAAAACAAACTGAATAAACGAATCCTATCTATACAATAATTCATAGAAAGTAAGGAAAAGAAAAAAATCTGCTACGTATGTATAATATATAATTTAATAATATTGTGTAGGTACTTATTAACTTATTTTAACATTAAAGAAAAGTAATATTGAAAATTAAGGTTCCTTAACGATCGATTAATAACGTAAAAAAAATTGTGTAAATATTGATCAGTACAACTATTATATAGAGAAATGAAAACTATTTATTAGGTAAATAATATTATATTAAATAATAAACAGCCAGACTTGCTTGCACACTCACACGTCACAATCATTCTGTAACGGGGTTCCGTTCTCCATCCACATTATACATAAACTTTATACTAAAAAAAAATCGCATTATCATCATCATCCTGGAGGCGTAGTTTCGAAAAAAAAGAACAAAACAAAATAGACACATCATCGCACCCCAAAATTATAATAATAATAAAAAAAGAAGACACGTGTTTGCATCATCATAAATATATTTTACACTTTATCATTCTCGTTTCGATTACTATGTTATTTTATTTAAATTATTACTTTTACCCCAACTCCATTTTATACAAAAAAAGTGAAATAAAAACAAAATCATATATAAAAAAAACTAAGATTAAATAATCAAATTCCTTAAACGTTTAAATATTTGCCTGTATTATTTTTTTTTTTCTTCGTTTTCGTTTTATTGTATATGTATATAGAGAGGTATAATAATAATCCATTCAATTTTACATTACATATTCTCGTAGTTTTTTTGTCTTATATTCTGTTAAGTCTACGTTTATCATCATCGATTGCGCATCAAAAAAAAAAATTTTTAAAAAACAAAACAAAAATCTTACATAACTTAAGATTAGATTCCGTGACACGGTTTTTCGTCGAGTTCCCGCCCAAATGGTTGTTCTTGTTGTCGATTGAAAATGATGAGTGTGTATCATATTTTTTTCTTTTAAATATTTTTTTCATGTATGAACTAACAAAAAAAAAATGATATACCTTTTATTGGGTTTGTTTTTATAATTAATAAGATTTTTCATATTTTGTTAGCGATTGCCTAGAAATGAGAAACAATTGCAAAATGTTAGTGAGAGAAAAAAAATTATAAATATAAACATAAAAAAAATGAACATAAGAGCACTCGAACAAAAACGAGGAAAAAATGTCTACACACTCGCACATAGACTAGATCAGTGGTTTTCAACTAATATTAATAAATTTCAATTTAAAGTTTCGTAGCTCTGGTTGAAAACCATTAAACTAGATGAAACAGATATAGAGGAAGCCAAATAACAAGAGAAAAAAGTGAATATTTACATTAAGAAAGTAAACTGATGTGAAAAGCAGATAAAAAAAAAGAAAACTGCAGTCTCGTGGAGGCAATTTTTCAACACGATATGAACTCTTAACGTGTTCCTCAGAAGAAATTTAAACGCCTTCTAAATACTCAAAGCAATTGTTGAAATGCAAAAAGGAAACTTATTATTAATTACATTTTCTAAATTTATTAGTTAACATTGAATTTACATTTGAACATTAGAGGCCTCTAAATTCTCTTTATGCTATTATAGTAACACATTTTTAGTACTGATCACCAACCATCCCGAGTATTAAAAAACTGTTGCCTTGTATGTTATGCGTAAAGAATATATTTAAAAAATATAAATAAAAACAAAACACAAGAATGATTTGCAAAAAAAACAAAAATGAAAAGTAAAGTAATATTATGAGAATGAGCTTTATAAAATATTGAATCTATAAATCTTTGTATTTTTTCTTCTTTTAATATAGGTTATCATATTACACTTACTATTATAATTATTAAGTTTTATTATTTATTATTATTATTAAATATTCTTTCTACTCACCAAAAATTAATCATGAATCAAGCACAAAATTAATTTTTGCCGAGCGGAAAATTGTGACATAGAGAGACCGCGCGCATAAATTTTTAATCTGAAAAACAACAAGAGAAGAACAGACATTTCAATAAACAATTTTTATCATATATTGACACAAATTTGGACGAATACACAAAAAAAGATAATAATGAGAGAAGATAAACAAAGTTTTTCAATAATGAGGGAGAGATGGTGTTTTTCCATTTGCATAGTAGATTTGAAGGGACAATAATATTATTGAAATATATCTTTTTTTTCATATATATATATAATAACCAAAGATTAATTTCGTCAAGCAAATTGAGTTTTCTTTTTATATTTTTTTTTTAACTTTTAATGACCCTTAACAGGTTTGGCAACATCGGTGGAGGAGGCGTGTACTTTAGAGTGGGCGTTGGCCTTAGCAGAACTCAATTTCCTATCTACGTCTCTGCTGACTGAAAATAAAACGGGATTTGGGTATATCGGAGAGAGGGGCTTAACCCTCTAGGGTCGAAAAACAGTAAATAATGAAATATCAGGGTTTTGTATAATCATAAGAAAGAAAAAAGACTTTGTAAGTAAAAGTGTTTACTAACCGGGTTGTTGGGTGATGGCCTGCGATGCCTGGGGTACGTAGCCAGGAGCAGGATGACCTGGAGCCGATTTTTGCTTAAGCAGTGTCCAATCGAACGTGTAATCGTATTGGTGGTTGAGGGTGCGGAACAGGATGCGGAACAACTGGCGCAGGTACATGTAGTCGGGTGACTCCTCGAATCGTAGGCCCCGACAATAATTTAAATACATTGCGAATTCCGCTGGAAAACCCTAAAATAAAGAAAGTCCATATAATTTCTGATTCATGATATGACAACGAAATATGCTACTTTGCAAAGGACTTCAACCGGCGTCGACATCTTTTTCTCGCTGATCTTCTCGTACTTCTGTTTCTTTGTGGCGGCCTTCAGGCCCTGCCACGGCAGACAACCCCGATTGAAGTACATGAGTACGTAGCCTAAACTCTCCATGTCGTCGCGACGCGACTGCTCAATACCAAGATGTGCATTTATCGAAGCGTATCTCGCTGTTCCCGTCAGGTTTTTGTCTTCGCGATAGCTAATGTGTAATCTAAAAGAAGAACGTTTAGTTCAAGCACGCACCGATTATCCTCGATTCTCGTAATTACCTCGACCTCACGTCTCTGTATTTCTTGGCGAGGCCAAAATCTATGAGGAACAATTTGTTACAGTGGCGGCCGATGCCCATGAGGAAGTTATCGGGCTTGATGTCACGATGAATGAATGATTTGCAGTGTACGAACTCAACTCTACCAATCATTTGATCGGCAAGCATGAGCACTGTTTTGATGGTGAAGCGACGCGAGCAAAAGTTGAAGAGGTCCTCCAGTGATGGACCCAGCAGATCCATGACGAGCACATTGTGATCCTTCTCCTGGCCATAATATCTGCAAAAAAAAATATGAATTAGTGTCAAACCACAATCATAAACAAAAGTTTCGGCGAATTTTAGTCACAGACAAGTAAAGATACCAAAAAATACACACCAAGGATCACTAGCTCTTGGTATGGAGATAGAATAACAAAAAATATCGGGGTGCAGACTAAATTTAGCGCCAGACAATTTACCTCCTATGAATCTATTCTGGGATCGTAAAAGCTGAAACTAATTTACCCAAAAGATTTTAGTCTCAAAGTTAATGGAATTGACAGAGGAAGAAACTCAGGTTCGTTAACCCGACGTAACTATATTGAAGTGAAAGAGAAAAACATTCACCCTTCGTGCAAAGAAAAAATATACAAACAACGCATTTATTAAATAAAGAGGGGAGATCGTTGTACCAACGTTTGTTCATTGATTTCATATATGAAGATGTAAACGACGTTTTGAACCAGACGCAACGCAATAAAGGATTTCTTTATTTTCCTTGTTTTTAAACTTTAAATCATCTTTTTGTCCTGCCTACACATATAATTAATGATGTATAGGCTATTATCCCCGCATTTGATTAATTGAGAGCGTATGGAATAAAAATCCAACCATTAAACTTGCTAATTTCCATTAGAATTCGACTAATTCAAGTCAAGGTTCGGGTTTTGCGCTAGACCAGAAATCGTCGACTTTCTTTGATATTGAACAACCCGATTATCTATCGATTAAAACTTAGTTGTCGACGTAGTTGGAGCGATCCTACCCTTTACTTTATTAGTGAAATTGTAGGTTCTTAAAATATTCCCAACCGACGCGATTTTCTTTTATGCTTTAAGAGACCATTAACAACGTAAAATGCACCCGCAGCTCCGAACAAGGAGTAATAGTTAAGTACCTTTGTCCTCAGCAGCAATCTAAAATTAAACTTTAAAGTCTATTTTACAATTCCTTTAAATGATTACACCTACTAACCCAATTATTAACTCATTTTTGGTTTAATAATATCGACGTTTCCCTACTACAGCTTTTCCTTTCTGCTCATCTATTACAATTACGTAACATTCAATTTATAAAAATTATATTTCTAATCAAACATTTCGTGTTTATATTTAACGCCCAATGTTAGATCTGCAGAGTTAAACGTAAATAAAGAAAATATGATCAAAAAGATCTGATATGTAGAGTAAAGTGGAAAATGAACTAACTTTCCATTAAGTAAAAACATCAGCATTTTCTCTTTTCGTGGACTGCCTTTGTATACATAAGTAAATAATGAAACACGCTAGTAAAACTTAAAAACGAAATACGTTCCAATAACAAAAAATAAAAATAACAAGATATATTTAGAACAGAACGGTTATTTTGTGGAATGGAAAAATTTGCAAGTGCAGGGATTTGTTGAAAACATAGCGAATGCATTTTATTTGTTTGAATGTTACACATTTTGTAAACAGCATGTGTTAAGGTCGGACGGTCCAGGTTCCAGCCGCCGCGCTTTTATATAACAATCGCCCAGTTTAAATATAGTTGCTCCACACTGTAGACCCCAGCTACATGATGAAGGAACGTTGGAATTGGAAAATCACGATTGGAAAACGAACTTGCATTTTCTCTCTTCCAATTTGCTTTCCTTCCGAAAGTGTATATAAATATATGAATCACGTGCATTGCTGCGCATTTATCGACAATGAAACAATTACGAATTTGAATAATTCTCGTGACGTACATGGCTGTTATGCACCTTTATTTACGCTGTCATTTACCATAGATGTGCTGATAAAGTTCAGGCTCTAGTATTTACTACGCTGCATTTCTTGCTGATGCATACAACAATGCATAATATGTCGTAACTGAAATGTTTTTAGATCGATTTGAAGTAACAACATTTGCGCATTAACAACATATTGATTACACAATTGAAGCAATTTTAATGGCGTTTCAAGTTATTAACAATTTAGATCATGCAAAACTAGTTCTACTTAAATCACCCACGATAAATAAATATATTCAGAAGTAACGCAAATAAATGTAAGTCAAGGGTAATTATGAAGATATGTAAATGCTAATTTGTACTATATTTTATACATAGTTATGAAAATAATATATTTAACCCGAAATAGAAATTTATCGCAGATAAATAAATTATTGTTAAAATTCAACTATGTCTATGGCAAATACATAATGTGTTAAAATTACAATAAGATATAATACACTAACAAAATATCAAAGTTTAACTGAAGAAAAAAAATTGCTAAACATACTTTTAATTAATTATTCCATTTAAAGTTAATTTCTTATATACATTTTAAATAATGTTAATTATATAAAAAAAAGTATATAACTTAAGTGCTGCTTTTAATTTATGAGACAATTAAAAATCGCACTTAAATTTTAAGTATTTGCATTAACCAAACTATAAATTCAGAAAGTGTAACTACATCATATTTTTTAAAAATTTCAATGAGAATGTTTTTGATTTCCACATGAAAAACAGTAAATAAAAAGAAAATGTTATAGTTAGCAAAACCAAATACACGAACTAATGTAACTTCGCACTATCTATTTGACATGTTTGACCCACATTTATCGCTTACAAAATAGTATTTTCGCATCACATACGTGTGCGAATGCATTTTAAATTCGGGTCTCTAATGCTTGAAAACATACGGGCCCTAAATTTTAGTGCACCTAAGCTCGCCTCTCATTGCATCTTCTGCGACTTGAATATTCTCACACCAAATAAACCAACAGAAAAAAATAGTGAATTGTAATATACACAATAACTTATTATTGTTATATTCAGAATAGTTTCTATCGAGATGCATTTTAAAAGGAAACGATCGATATAGTTGGAAATTGGATATACAATACTTTTGTGTTAGAACCACAAAGAATGCAAGAGTACACCTTTTGTATACTCGCAGGTATTCCAAAATGTACTTGGAATAGAATAAAGGGAAGAAAAGGAAAGGAATTTTACATAGAATTCTATTATTGTAAAACGGTAAGCTTAAAAGGATGAAAAACGAAGTTTAATACGAAACCTGGGACAATATAATATTTTCGTTTGAAGTTTAAATTGTAATACTCATATGGTTTAAATTTAAAATGATGAAAGATTTTAAAATAACAACAAATTGATTGAATTCAATTGATTAAAGCAGAAACAGCATAAAGAGAATTAAGAATTCAAGTGGCGGACGGGCTATGTGGCTACTTCTGTGAAGACCTGATGCAGTTTAGTGACCCCGAACTGGAATGGACACTGCAGAAGGGGGAAGAAGATGCGAAGGAGGAAGGAAGAAACAAACAAAATGCAGACTGAAACAGGAGGTAATACCACGCGGTTTCGTTGAAAAAAAAAATGGGAGAAAAAACGAAGTCATGGTAAACAGACGGAAAGATGAATGTATGTGCGTCGACGATGTTCCTCTTCCAAAGGAACGCGTTCGAGGGAGAGAAGCTTAAATTAGAAAATCTATTTTTAACGTTCCCGAAATTCAGGAACTAATAAGAGATTCCGTCGGTGTGTGGGAAAAGACGTGCGGCCACGTTTTAGGCGAGGTCAAACGAATTAAAAGGAAAGAAGCAGACAAGAGACCCACACACATACATCAACAGGTTACAAACTCCTCTCCTTCTAACATCTTCTTCCGTTAGCTTCACATCGCAGAAACGGGTTCTAAGGCTGTCTATGTACAGAGGAGACGACCTTTTGGCGTCCAGATGTTTTTCAAGCACCTCCCCAACGGTGCAACGGATACGGAAACAACGTGAAAAAAGACGCACGAATGAAAAAAAAACAGCACCGACGCGCAAGTTCCAACAGGTCGAGAGATCGCGCAGATGTGCTTGAGAGATAAATAGAATCACCAAAAACAAAGAAGAAATTTACTTCGAAGTAGAAGAATTCTTGTCTCGAACTTTCTATCTCGAATAACAGTAAAAATTTGGCCCACCTCTCTTCGTCGAACTCATTCAAATCACACACAAAAAAGCATTTTTTCTTCTTTATTCTTCGAAGTAAAACGAAGATTAAATAAGACAGCGTGACGACAATTTTCACTGATTTACAGGTTTTCGTAATATTTTTATGTATAAAACAAAAGACAAATTGATGATCGCATGTCCATATACAATTAGCATTGCGACAAGAAGAATTTTGTAATTAGGAGAAGGCCTTGAAGAAAGGAAGAACTTCTTGCTGCCTCTGTGATCTTTCCATAATATATAGAAATTATAGTTGCAAAATGGAATATGGGTCATAGCGCGGAGGTTGTTTCGCATTCAAGGCCTTTTCCATCGGCCTTCTTCCATTAAATGGGCCACACGAAATTCATCCTTTCTAAGCGGTTTACACTATACCCAGTCAGTACTAATCCTCGCGTCTAGCGACGTCCGAAAACGCTTTATAAAATACTGAATAAAAGTAAGCGAGGTTATTTTATGAAGCCAAGTGTACGTGCAGCAGCAACGAGCCTGTTTTCTCAGTTGCTATTTTTACACTAGCAACTGCATGTTTTTTACGCAAAAGTTCACGGTTCAAAAGCAATGAATTTATTTCTAAATAAATATTATGAACGGTTATGTTCTATTTACGTTAAGAACTGTGAACACTTGTTTATATTATACCTAACATTTTTTTATTATGAGATTAACATTTATCTGGAAGTTTCGTATTGTACTTTTCTCATTCATTGACTTTGTTTATATTTTCCACTAACCAAATATGATTTCCTTGCATAGTATTTTTTGAAAATGTAACTAAACCCAGTGACAAAAATAATAATAGCCGAACTATACATACCTGATATGTGGGATTCCTATACCACCGTGTAAAAGCTTGTATAGTTTGCTTTCGTATAAGAGCTGTGGATGTCTTGCCCTAACACTCTCCAATTTTACAGCTACTTCCTGCAACAGAAAAATAAATAATTTGAGTAAATCGTTTGATGGTTGCCTCCGGAGAAGACAAAAAAAAGTAATATGTAAAGGAAAAATATAACTGCAATTCTAATTTACAGCTATGAATTTGCAAAACAAATGTGAATTTATTCACATTTTATACAAGAAAAGCTATAATATTAAAACATATTTAACGGATGGAATACAGTTCTTATTGATTTCATATTCATTTGCAATTTAATTTATATAGTTTGCTCAACCTGCATACCTCGTCGTTACTATGACAATAGTTTGAAAACAAATGAAAATTGCTGACGTTACCAAGTAATTAAATATGAGAGAAGAAATTCATATTAAATAAAAATATGTTTGCAACCATAAGACAGGTTTAAATTATATTTCAATTTACTCTATATAGAAAGTTAAAAGATATAATTTGATACTGAAAAAAGCTATTGGAAAATTAAAAAAATTATATAATTAAATAAATTAGAATAATGACCAATATATACGTTTATCTATAACATCAGCAATGTGAAGAATAAATCTTTAGAAAGTGGTACCAAGGACCAAAGTAGTCACTTTTCTTGTTATTTTTTTGCATTGTAATTGCGTGGTCTAAGAAGGTCAACTATTAATAGCTTTGTGCAAGGAATTTTCACTTTTCAATCTGTTCCAATGGTATAAATTGAAGATCAATTAATTGTAATATAATTAGTCAGTAACGACTACAATTATTATAAATTGTTTTATAACTAGAATCATTCTCGATTATTTTAACTTAACTAATATACTAGCAATAAAAGAAAACCATCCAAATAATCAAATTGAATTTCTTTAAAATTATTGACAAAAAATATCGTGAAAATATTATTCGAGAACAGAATTAACATTGTGTGGACAACGTTAAATAACATTAGGAGACATAAGAAATATACAATCGACTGAAA